AATCTCCCCGCTTCTAAAAATTGGCAACTAATTTTAAAATTTAAAAAACACTTTGCAGGCCAAGCACAACATCTGTGGGCTGCTGCCTGTTTTTGACCTCCGGCCCAGGCTAATTAATGGATGGCTGTCTTCTGTGAGTCCCAATTCCGGCAGCGGGAAGTATTTTCCGGAAGTTCCCTGGGTTGACCACAGTGAGGTGGGGAGAGGAAGGAGGAGCTTGACTTGGCTTCCGTGGATCACTGATCACTCATTGACATGACAGATATTTATTGGGCATCTGTGGTGTTCAGAGCACCTTCTCCGTTACTCTGTGCTTCCTGCCCAACGTCTTGGGATGGTCTGCGTCCTGCTCACCCTGCAGTCTCTCTGTCCCCTACCGTCGGGGTTCTCCCCTGGGACTGTAGCCAGGCTGGATGTGGTGGGCAGAATCTCGGAGGGAGCCGTGTGACAGAGGACGACCAGGACTCTGGTTCTCAGTCCTTGAAAATTTCCTTGGATATCAAGGGAACAGCAGAAGTCCCAGGATGAGACGGCCCTCACCTGAGGAAGCTGGACAGAGGGGACACGGCCAGCCACACTGGTCCTGTGAGATCCCCAGTGATTGTCCGAGGGGCAGGAGCAGTTGGCACTTGGCAGCCCTGGGGTGGACTTTTTCCCCACACCTGTGCCCTGGGGGTGTTGGCTGGATGACCCTGCAGCTGATTCTTCATTATCCAGAAAATTGAGGCTCCCTCCTGGACACCCCTGAGATTCCCAGGCTTTAAGCCCTCTCTGGCTCAGGGTTTATTTCTAGTGGGCTCCCAGCCACTACTGGCTTATTTGAACTCTCTGGCTGTTCTCCTTGAGGTCAAGTGCCCCAGAGAAGCCATCTGACCCCTGGAGGTGACTCTGTTCGCCTGGCAGCCAGATGGATGGTATTGGGGGTTGAAGCTGTGAAATGTCCTGACTGTTTTCCATTCTCCTCCTCCATGACTTTTAAGTTGGGGACAGTAGTATCTACCTCACAGGGCTGTGTGAGGCAGCTAAGGCTCAGAGAGCTTAATCAACTGTCTCAAGGCCACACAGCTAGGCCATGAGGAACCAGGGCCCAGAGCTTGTGTCTTGCATGGCTACCCTTTACCCCATGCTGAAGTTAGACTTTTTAATTTCCTTTTGGTGTGCTCATTCCTCTGTGTTTTGTTTTTGTTTTTGTTTTTGTTTTCCTCCTCTTGTTCTTTGGACTGTTAGAGTTTGGACGTTTAATAGCTAGACATCTCCCCTGGACATCTGTCCGGAGTAGGACTTCATCTCCGACCGTGAATATTTCCCAAGCCTCGGGGTTTGTGTGAAATTGGGTGGAAAACACTTGACCCTAGGGCTACATGGGCTATAAACTGTTGGGTCTGTCTGCAGAACTTCAAGGACAAGTCACTAATGGGTTGGAAAGAATTTCTTTAAGGGTGGGTGACACTCTTCTTCACCTTGTTAATGCTGCCCCTAGCTTTTGTCCCCACTCAGCGTCTGTGTGTTGAGGGCTTTTCTCTGCTCAGTGTCCTAAATGAGGCTTCCAGATGACATCCCCTCATCTGAACCCCACCCCAGATTTCAGTCCCTTTGATGGACAGAGAATTGGTCTCTATCTTGTTTGGAGTGAGAGGCCAGCCTCCAAGGTCTGGAGGTCAAGGGACTGCAGAGGCTGCTGGCTTCTTTAAGACCATCAGGGACCGTGGCATTAAGTAGCGATGGAGCTTTAGCAACCTCAGCATTTATAGGAGCAAAGATATCACTAAGTAGGTTCGCGAAGTTCACAAAAGAGCTCCAGTGGGCCACCAGATCTGGAGCACAGGGACCTGAGCCTGTGGGCGGGACATGAGTCGGCGTCCACATACCTGGTGGTCACTCCTGCATTTGAACATGCTCATTTCCTCTGGCATGTCCCTTCGCTCGATAGATGGACCATTCCTGGCCAGGCCAGATGTCCTTGCTGGACACCAGGCCTCTGCACCCACCCTGGGACCACAGCAGAAGGGGTGGGCAATGCTGTGGGCAGTTGGTTTTCCAAATGCCTATTTGAAGTTTGGAGGTCCACATTGGCCACCCCCCCCCCCCCCGCCAGGGCTTTCCTTGATAAAACAGTTGTCATGAGCAGTGTCAGCAGAGGAGTTCTTTCAGGCCATCGAGTCACAGGTCTGTGTGCCTCTTTGCGTGAAGAACTGAGTAAGACGTGAACGGAGCCAACAGGCCATCACTGTTTGTTCAGTGACATCCTCAGCATCTGTCCCTTTTTTAGAACATCTTACCGCTGGTCACCAACACTTCTGCGTTGGCTCTTTCCAGAGTTTGTCCTTGGGTGGGCAAAGGAGGGAGGGTCCCTATGACCACGTTTATTGGAGCCGTGCCTGCCCCAGGCCTCGTGACTACTTTATTATATTTTAAAATCAGACTTCCAATGGCTGATAGCCTTCCTGACAGGGTCCTAAGACCCGCTGCACACATCTCAAATGCATCAGGTGGTGAGTGTGACATTGTGTCACTCCTAAAACGTCCTTCTGCCCCTTGTAATTTCACTTTCCTTCCCCCCACCACCCTCCCCTGGCCATAAGCCACCACTGATCTGCCTTCTGTCAGGAAACATTAGTTTGGATTTCCTAAAATTTTGTATAAATGGAATCATGGAGTACATATTCTTTTTGTCTTTCACCTAGCCTAATTTTCAGATTCACTCATTTTTCAAAAGTGAGTTTTTAATATTTTTTTTAGTTGTAGATGGACACAATACCTTTATTTTATTTATTTATTTTTATGTGGTGCTGAGGATCGAACCCAGCACCTCTCATGTGCTAGGCAAGTGCTCTGCTACTGAGCCCCAGCCCCAGCCCCATGAGTTGCTTTTCATGGCTAGGTAATATTTCATTATACAGATACAAAAGGAGGAGAGTTGGCCTTAAAGAATTTTTTTTTCATTTTCTTTTCTTTTGGGGGAGTACTAGGGATTGAACTCATGAGTACTCGACCACCGAGCCACATCCCCAGCCCTATTTTGTGTTTTATTTAGAGACAGGGTCTCACTGAGTTGCTTAGCACTTTGCTTTTGCTGAGACTGGCTTTGAACTCAGGATCCTCCTGTCTCAGCCTCCCCGGCTGCTGGGATTACAGGAGTGTACCACCACGCCCACCTCGTTTTATTTTCAATTGAAAGGTTTTGTGGGCTTTTTATTTGGCTTGTTTTATTTCCATTTTTAACAAGTTTCTTATGGAGGAGCTTTGTTTTTTTTTTTTTTTTTTTCTGAATGTGCTTCAAAAGAGCAAATATTTTTCTAGCAGTCTTTTGGCCCCAGATTTATACATAATTACTTAAGTCAGTGAGTGTGTTTGGTGTCTACCATCTGCTGAGGGCCAGGCTGGTGGCACCTGCAGGGCACAGTAGGAGTTTACGTCCCAGCCAGTGGTTGATTTCCTTATGAGGCTCTGGCAGTGGTTAAATAAGCAGTGACGCCCTGGCCTGCGCGTGTACAAGCCTTGGACCCATCACTGTGCCGTCTCTGCAGAATCACTGAGGTCTTGCTTTCTGCCTCTGCTCGCAGCCTGGTGCTGGATTTTGATTCTACAGGATGTTCCAGCAAATAGGTGTCTCCCAGCCGTCTGTCCTTCAGCAGCCGGGGTGTAGCCAGGGTTTCCGAGTCCTCCGCACAAAGCCAGAAGCTGGGGGAATTTTCCACGGGTTGCTGTGGGCCTGGAAACGCTCCCTTTCCAATATTCACTGGTTTTATGAAAAGTCTCCTGTGTGTGAGAAAAAACAGCGAGCCTCAGGTTCAGAGTCACAGCTCGTCAGAGAAAGTCTCTCTCCAGCCCATTTTACAGACAAGGAAGCTGAGACTCGGGAGCAGGAATAACTCACACCTAGTTACTAACAGTAGAACTGGGCCTTGGGGGCTTGGGCTGTGCTGTTGACCTTTGTGTCCAGTTTCTGAAGGTGGGAATTTCAGGAAGGCTTGTCAGGACTTGGTAGGCCTGGGAAGAAAATCGTTGCTTTCCCAGCCACCTGCACACAGATGCTTGTACCCTTATCAATATAATGAGAATAAAAATAAGTTGTCCCCAGATGATGCTTCTAGAATGTTCTCACATCTCCCAGAGTCCTGACCTTACACCAGCTTGTTGAAGGAACTTTAAAAAACAGGGGTGGCTGCCCAGTGGTGTCATCGGGCAGTATTTTCTGGCATGTGATGAAAGGTGAGGGGCACTTCTTACGTCAGTGCAGCACCTCCCGGCTGGTGAAGGGCCTTAGAGTACAGCCCTCACATGAACCCCTTGGTGGTCCTTCCCAACAGCCCCTTTTACCTGTGAGGAAACTGGCTTAGGAGATGAGGTACCCACTAAGGTTGCCCAGTGGCAAGGAGAAGACCCAGACTTAAGAACGCAGGCCCAGCTCCCAGTCTCCTGCCCTTCCCACATCTGCTGAGGGTGGTGCGGCACCCAGGCCAAAGGTGTGACGCGGTGAGAAATGGGCTCTGTGTTTGGTGTCCAGATTTTAACTCTGTCCCACCTATTTGCTGTGTGATCTTCTGGAAGATAGTTAGCTTCTGAGCTTCATTGTCTTCTTTGGGAAAATGTAACCCTTGTTCTATACAACTAAATTTATATTTAAATTCATTTATTTGAAGTGCTCAGCACAGGTGAGGATGTGGGGGGAAAGGCCCACTCACACATCGTTGGTAAGACAGCAGATTAGTACAACCCCTCTGGAAAAGAGTAGGGAGATACCTCAACAAACTAGGAATAGAATCACCTTGCGACTCCGCTGTCCCACTCCCCATTCATCTCCCAAAGATCTAAAATCAGCATACTATAGTGATAGGGTGCACACAGATTTATTTTTTTTAAAGAGAGAGAGAGAGAGAATTTTTAATATTTATTTTTAGTTCTCGGCGGACACAACATCTTTGTTGGTATGTGGTGCTGAGGATCGAACCCAGCGCCCTGTGCATGCCAGGCGAGCGCGCTACCGCTTGAGCCACATCCCCAGCCCTGCACACAGATTTTTAAATGGTTCCAGGATGGGTCTGCAGTCTGATCACTTGCAGAGGAAGTAGGGAAGACAGAAGCACCTACCATGTGCCTTGCCATAGTAGGCCCTCAATAAAAACAGCCAGACTGATGAAGCACTCCCCTGCTGAGTGAGTGCCCCTGTCCCACACACAGTCAAATCCTGGTCTCTGGGCCATGTTCTGGCCTACAGTGTGTGGACAGGGCCACCAGCTGGTCAGTGGAGTTGAGGCCTGGAGTGGGGAGTGAAGGGCTGACGGGGGCTGTTCCCTGGCACCAGGGGGAATCAGCACAGTCCTAGGAGGGCTTGTCTGGCATGGGGGCATCTTTCTCTCAGACACTTAGACAGAAGCTCGAATCAGGCCTGACCACCATCCCTGTCTTTGTTGTTCACTGTGGACATCTCCTTTTAAGCAGCTAATACTCTGAGGTGTTAGGGGACATTGAGTAGGACCTTCTACAGGAAGAGTCAGCAGCCACCTTGTGGGGTTCAGATTTCTTCAGGGGTGTGGGGGCCAAGTCTGGTGCTTGGAGATGAGGGGCCCTATTCCATCTCTGGCTCCTCCTGCCTGGTGCACAGAACACCAGAGTCATCCCTGGCTGGGGTGACTTAGGGGCTAGGTCCCATCTGACGCACCACATGGCCACCTGGTTGAGCAGGGAGGACCTGGGTAGGGTAAGAGGAGGGCAGCCCCAGCAGAGCCTCCCTCCCTGCCAGGCGAGTGGGGCTCGGGCCCTCCCTCTGCCCTCTGCCCTGCCCAGCAGCCTGCTGGAGAATTCAGTGATGGCTCGCAGTTGTCATCCTGTTTAACATCCCCTTCCACTGTCACCAGAGGACCCAGGCCCAGGTGCATGAGTGGTTCTGCCCTCTGGCCTGGGCTGGACAGCTGGGCTCTCTTGGTGGTGGTTCTGGCCCCACAGCTGGGTGTGTGGAGGTGGGAAATGCCCTGGTTGGCTGCTCCTGCCATTCCTCGTGGCCTGAGTTTATTTGTGCAGTTGCATCAAGAGCTGAGTTTCGCATTTGGAGTCCTCGATTGTTTTGGGATCATGGATTCCTGGAGTAGCAAAAAAAAAAAAGATACTACAGTTCCCTCAGAGGAAACTTGGGTAAGCACCATCCTCTTCCCCAGTTTCCTCATCAATAAAAGGGTAATGGTGAAATGTCCCCTAGCCCCAGTGTCCTGGGGTTCCTGAGCTGGACAGTACCATGGGGACTCTTGTGTTCACTCCTTATGTCCAGGTCAGACCCACCGAAGCAGACCAGAGRTGCACGGGCCTATCTCCTTTCGTGACCTCTGCAGGCCTCTGGTTGAAGCAGCCTTCTTTCCAAGAGGCTGTTTGGTACCAAAGTAGCTCCTTTCCATCACACCTCAGCTGACTGCCACTGTTTTGTTGATATTGCTGTTGGGTTTGGGGTGTGTGTTTTGCTTCTACCCTGCAGAGAGAGTCCGGGTTCTGAAATTTTCCCTCTTGCCCTCTCTGTTTGTTGTTCCACGTGTGGGTGGAGAAGAAAGGACCTTTGGTGGGCAGCCCACGTTCTGGGTCGCTTATTGGCTCTGCTGATTGGGGGTGGTCCAGGTGGGTTTTCACGAGCCCCTCGGTGTTGTCAGGCAGGGAAGGAATGGGCAGTGTGGGCACAGACACCTTGAGGTATCTTTCCCAGGTAAAAAGAGCATTAGAAAGTGAGGAAACTCGTTGTCTAATGAACCCATATTTTCAAATGAGATGACCAGAGGTTGGCCTGTCGGTGGGCAGTGTGGCCAGAGTGGGGACCATAAACACCATCTCCTGGCGAGGGCCTAGGGCTCCTCGTCTGCTCTGAGATGTGGCCCCATGTGTCTGCAAGCTTTCTCGGAGGTAGATCCAATGCTGATGGAAATCTCCAGTGGGTAAATAGCCGCTGAGTAGACCATCACAAGGCCCTTTATCTACGGTCCACCCGCAACCTTAGCCTCAGATGACTCGGGGTCTCTGGCATGGCAAGTGACATGGCAGAGCCTCCTCATCAGAGGCACTTTGACTTCCTGCACTTGCCTGCTGGCCCCGTTAGTCTAACTGGCGTCTGCGGCTGTCATTGCCCTGCTGTTTTTAATGGCACCCCTCAAGATGGGCTGATTGTTTAAAGAACATTTCTGGTGTTGGGCCTCCGGCTGTGACGTCTGTCTGTGGGTCCCTTTGTCAACAGGATTGACTTTTTAAAGTGTTTTTGCTAGTGCGTTATAATTATACCTACATCATAGCGGGGTTCGCTGTGGCATAGTCACATATGCACGTATCTTACTTTGTTCCAATTGATTTCCCAGGACTTTCCTTCTCCCTTCTCTGCTCTTTCCCCCAAGCATGACTTCTCACTGGGCCTCAGAAGGCTGGGGGGCAGCCTGGGGTTTTATTTCCTCCACTTTCTGAGACACTGTGGCGTTCAGCTGGTGATGGATGCAGGGAGGAATGATTCCCTTGCCATTACCTCCCTCACACACGAGATCTGCCGGCCCCACCTCCATCCAGGGGTAAGTTGGGTCTCCTGGCCTGGCCAGGCAGGAAGGCCACCAAGACAGACTTTCCTTAATCATACTAGGCCTTGGTGCTAAATGAAGGGGACTGTAGGGACTTCAGGACTCCGAGGAAGGAGTATGGAGAGAGGTCATTGGGGGCAGAAAGAGCCATAGAACAGGGCTGCAGTGGGCTACTGGTGTCCCGTGCCTCTGCTGGAATGGGGTGGACTGGTGCAGGACAGAGTTGTAAGTGTCCAGGACCCCCAGGGAGGGAATGTCCCTGGAAGCCTTCCTGTGCTCCTGACTGTGGCTGCTTCGGGTTCTGGCTTTGAGAGCGAGCTCTTGGTGGATGAGGCCCGCTGAAGCAGGAGGGCTCTTGCCACCCTGAGGTTGTACGCCTGTGGTGGCCTGTCTGAAGGCCTCTTTCTTGTTCATGTGGCATTCCCGACTTCCTGGCCATGGGGGTTCTTGGCTGTAGGTGAAATTGCCCCCAATGAACCAGAACCCTTTGTTCAGGTACAATGGGATGTCTGTGCTCAGACAGAAAGGAATGCTAATGGCTTCTTAACTGTCCCAGGCACCAGTGCCTGGAAGATACAGGAYGCACATTCTTTACCATCCTATCAGATAGAAACTGCTTCTGTAGGCTTGCAGAGCTTTGGCCCAGCCTGAGTCCGTGTTTGTGGAACATTTGCCATGGCATCCTTGTCCYTAAGCAGGGGAGCTATTTGACTCCATGGCCCCCAGCTCCACTTCCCCCGGAAATGTGGTCACATCCCTCCCTCACTTCCAGCTCCCCGACCCTTACCCCTCTGTGGCAGCACTGGAAGTTTTGAGAAGCCCAAAGGCTTTGGCTCTTTTCAATGTAGGAAACAAGGGCTGGGGATGTGGCTCAGTGGTAGAGCGCTTCCCTAGCATGCATGGGGCTCTGGGCTTGAACAAAACAACAGCAAACATGGAGAGGTGTGGGAAATGTGGTTAAGACCAAGATGTGGGGTGCGGGGTGCTCCSTTTCCAGCTGGGTCACGTGGACTTTGTTAGGAGTGTGGTGAGATAGCAGCTGAGGGAGCCCTGGCCCCCAGCCAGGCACCACCTCTCAGCGTAGCTTCGCATGTTGTGTAGCACTTGGGACACTGGTGTTATCTGCCTGGCCAGTGACTCATAAGGAAGTCAGAACTGCAATGAACACAAAACCTCGTTCGCCCTCTTCACCTCTTCCCCACGCTGCTCTCCCCCGGGCTCCCCTAGTCACAAATGCCTGTCTAACATTTTCTCTGAAGTCTTTGGAAACTTTACTTGAACCAGGCAGCCAGTGAGCATCATTGCCTGGTTCCATTTGTCTTACCCTGAAAGTCTGTGAGAATCTTCTCCAGGGAAGAAAAAAGAAGAAAGAAAATCCCGCCTCCAAGCGTGCAGACTGCCACAGGAAGTGATTCATGGGGCCAGACATGCGAACCTGGTGCAGGAGGTGGGAGGCTGGGACCCGGGGCTGGGAAGAAAGCGCGGAGAGGAGACTCAGCCCTTCAAGGTTTCTGCTTGGTGAAAGAAAGTGAAAAACAGAATGACTAAGAGCCCTGTAATAAGAATTGTTTGTTTTATGAAGTGAGCTAATATTGAAGGCCGTTGGCAGATAAGACTTGAGAAATTGCCATTGTCAGGGGAGGTGACTTTTGGTGACCTGCCCTTCTTTTTTTTTAAAATTTTTATTCTAATTTGTTATATATGACAGCGGAATGCATTACAATTCATATTACACATAGAGAGCACATTTTTTTCATATCTCTGGTTGTATACACAGTATATTCACACCRTTYGTGTCTTCATACATGTACTTAGGGTAATGATGTCCATCTCATCCCACCATTTTTTTTAACCCCCTGCCCCCTCCCTTCCCTTCCTTCCCCTTTACCCTATCTAGAGTTTGTCTAATCTTCCCATGCTCCCCCTCCCAACCCCACTATGAATCAGCCTCCTTATATCAGAGAAAACATTCAGCATTTGGTTTTTTGGGATTGGCTAACTTCACTAAGCATTATATTCTCCATCTCCATCCATTTACCTGCAAATGCCATGATTTTATTCTTTTATGCTGAATAATATTCCATTGTGTATATAYGCCACATTTTCTTTATCCATTCATCTACTGAAGGGTATCTAGGTTGGTTCCACAGTTTAGCTATTATGAATTGTGCTACAATAAACATTTATGTGGCTGTGTCCTTGTAATATGCTGTTTTTAAGTCCTTTGGGTATAGGATAGCTGGGTCCAAAGGTGGTTCCATTCCCGGTTTTCCAAGGAATCTCCAAACTGCTTTCCATATTGGCTGCACCATTTTGCAGTCCCATCATGAATGTATGAGTGTACCTTTTCCCCCACATCCTCGCCAACACTTATTGTTGTTTGTATTAATAGATGCCATTCTGACTGGAGTGAGATGAAATCTTAGAGTAGTTTTGATTTGCATTTCTCTAATTGCTAGAGATGTTGAACATTTTTTTATATATTTATTGATTAATTGTATATCACCTTCTAAGAAGTGTCTCTTTAGTTCCTTGTACTTTTATTGGTTGGTTTATTTGTTTTTTTTTTTTTTTGGTGTTTAGATTTTTGAGTTCTTCATATATCCTAGAGATTAGTGCTCTATCTGACATGCATGTGGTAAAAATTTGTTCCCAAATTGTAGGCTCTCTATTCACCTCACACTGATTGTTTCTTTTGCTGAGAAGAAGCTTTTTAGTTTGAATCCATCCCATTTATTTATTCTTGGTTTTAATTCTTGTGCCTCAGGAGTCTTATTAAGAAAGTTGGGGCCTGATCCAATATGATGAAGATTAGAGCCTACTTTTTCTTCTATTAGATGCAGAGTCTCTGGTTTAATTCCTAGGTCCTTGATCTACTTTGAGTTGAGTTTTGTGCATGGTGAGAAATAGAGGTTTAATTTCATTTTGTTGCATATGGATTTCCAATTTTCCCAGCACCATTTGTTGAAGAGGCTATCTTTTCTCCAATGTATGTTTTTAGGCACCTTTGATTAGTATAAGGTAACTGTAATTATGTGAGTCAGTCTCTGTGTCCTATATTCTGTACCATTGGTCTACTAGTCTATTTTGGTGCCAATACCATGCTGTTTTTGTTACTGTTGCTCTATAGTGTAGTTTAAGGTCTGGTATAGTGATGCCACCTGCTTCACTCTTCTTGCTAAGGATTGCTTTAGCTATTCTGGGTCTCTTGTTTTTCCAGATGAATTTCATGATTGCTTTTTCTATTTCTCTGAGGAATATCATTGGGATTTTGATTGGAATTCCATTAAATCTGTATAATGCTTTTGGTAGTATGGTCATTTTGACAATATTAATTCTGCCTATCTAAGAACAAGGGAGATCTTTCCATCTTCTAAGGTCTTCTTTAATTTCTTTCTTTAGCATTCTGTAGTTTTTGTTGTAGAGAGCTTTCACCTCTTTCATTAAGTTGATTCCCAAGTGTGGTTTTTTTTTTTTTGATGCTATTATATATGGGGCAGTTTTCCTCATTTTCCTTTCAGAAGATGTGTCACTGATATACAGAAATGCCTTTGGTTTATGGGTGTTGATTTTGTACCCTGCTACTTTGCTTAATTCATTTACCAGTTCTGGAAGTTTTCTGGTAGAATTTTTTGGGTCTTCTAGGTATAGAATCATATTATTGACAAATAGTGTTAATTTGAGTTTTTCTTTACCTAACTATATCCCTTTAATTTCTTTTGACTGTCTAATTGCTCTGGCCAGTGTTTCAAGAACTATGTTAAATAGAAGTGGTGAAAGAGCTGCCCTTATTCTTTTTCAGAGAGCAAAGATATTTCTCCAGATTCAGACCTGCATCAGTGGGAGGCGGAGCCGGGCATTTCCCTCCGGGCCTGGCTGCTCTCCCCTCTTCAGAGACAAGGTTCCAAGTTAGGTCTCCCCAACCCCTTCTTCCTCTCTCTTTTTTTTTTTTTTTTACCTTTTCCTCAGACCTTTGAGGCTGATAAATGTCTTTACCTGGATGCTCACTGTTGTCCCAAAGGGAGTGTCGCGTGATCACAGGAAGGATCCTTTCATCCTATGGGCTCAGCCTGGCATTTTATTTTCTTCTCCCTCAAATTGACAATGCACACAAACCCGTTTCCCAAATGCAGTTTAGAAGCAAAGTCTCCAAGTGTTGGCCTGTGAGCAGCTCTGCTGCAAAAAGGGAGCCCCCGTCACAGTAGAACCAGAAGAGGTGTCCGGACACGCTGGCTTGGTGACTCCATTTCTGACTCCCTGTGCTGGTGAGGTCAGCTTTGCTCACGGGGGTTGTATTTAGAGCTGGGGTGAAGTGTGCTTTTGCCTTAAGCCATCAGAAGGTGGCCAAGGGCTGTGCGTGTCCCAAACATCCCACAGGTGATCTCTGAAAAAAACAAACCATCTTTGGGCTTAGTCCTACTCCAAGTGAATGTGAGCAGCCAAGTTTTCCAGCAGAGTAAAAAATCCAGAAGGTTCTGTGCAGCCTRGCAGCCATCCAGGCAGTGAGTGGAGAACAGTGTAGATCTTTGCAGCATTCTCTGTTGGCGACTTGAAAGTTCTGTGGTCCTGCCAGCACTGGAGAAGGAGCGATCCCCCTCGGTTTGGTGCTGGAGGGGTGGACTGCGTGAAAACTAGAAGGGTCTCAAGTGAGACCCTATACCCCTCCTCCGCGATGTCACCTCCTCCTTTGCACGAGGAAGGGAGGGTACAGGATAATTATCTTGTCAGAGCTGAAGGGGATCCTCTGCCCATCCAAACATACTGTTTTGCAGTCGTAGAGAACTGGGTTTGGAGTGTAATACCCAGGTTGAAGGCCAGGCGCTGTGACTTGCTTTCCATGGTGACTTTGGGCAAGTCACCTAAGCCCACAAAACATTTCTTCTGTGAAATGGGAGTAATCCCCCTCTGCCCCAGCTCTCAGAGTCCCTGTATCCAGGGAGGTAAGGCCGAGGCGCGCTGGGCTCTCATATCTGCCCAGAGCTCTGCTCTGCTTCTGCTGCCCTCCACCAGGGTCCCCTGGGAGATTCCTTAAGCCTGGGCTCTCAAGTGGGGAGGGTGCAGACAGCCTGCCCCCAGGGGACCTGGCAAAGTCTGGAGACATTTTCACTTGTCACAGCTGGAGGTGGGGGTGCCGCTGCACATCCTGCAGTGCTGGGCAGCAGCCTCTGCTCCCCACCAAGGATGGTCTGGCCCAGACCTCAGCAGGGCCGGCCTGGAGAACTGGGCCTCTCCTTACTCATGGCCCCAGGAGGGAAAGTTCTCGGTGCCCATGTGCTTTACAGATGACTAGGGTCAAGCTGAACTTTCTCCATTAATCAGCTTCCTCCTTTACCCAAGAGCTCACACTCTGAGCTTCCCTGGGGCCCTAGGGAGGGGAGAAGCCCTGAGTCAGATGACCCCGTGTTTCCAGGCAGGGTCCTGCCAGGGCAAGGCAAGGACTGCCTGGGCTTTCTCCTCCCGGGGTCTGTCTGCCCTGTAGGCTCCTGCCGATCTCTAAGGAGTCCACTCGGTGCCCATCTTCCTGGGGCCCTGGGAGGGCCTGAGCACACTGCTCCAGAGAAGGGTGTGGGGGGGTGCAGCAGAGAGCAGCTGCCGTCTGCAGGGCAGTGCACCCCCTTCCAGCCTGACATTTTATTTGGTTTCCCCCAGACTGGCAGCAATCCTGGATATTGTTCGTTTTCAAGTACAGATGGAAATTGGGTTGTTTTGGGGGGAAGCTTCTTGGTGAGTGGTACCAAGGGTCATGCAATTCTGTTTGGAGCTCTTCGCTGGCTGATCTGAACTGGAATATTTTAAAACATGCTTAGCATTCTTGCAAAACTGCGGAGAAAACTTTCGAAACTTGGGTAGAGAGTGGAGCACATGGTCAGTGGGTGGAATTTATAATGAAACCTCAGTTATCCAGAACCCACCCAACCATAAATCCTCACCTTTCTGTATTGTTTCTGTGTGACACCAAGAAGTGGCTGACATTGGAAATGGAGCTTAAGCAACCATCAAAACTTTCAAAATGTCTGGATGTAGAATACTCAGTGTATGGTCTGATTTTCATTTTTAACTATTTTTGTGGTGCTGGGTTAGGCCTAAGAACCTAGCACATGCTAGGTCAGTGTCCCACTACTGAGCTGCATCCCCAGCCCCCTGATTTGTTTTTGTTTATAATTCTTATTTTAATATAATTTCAAATCTCAGAAACTTGCTATTGTAGAACAAGGAATTACACTGCAGAGTCACCAATTGCTCAGTCCCTTTCCAGAAAATAAAAAAAAAAATAATAAAAACAACCCAAGAATAATAATAGCATATATTATCCTGAAGGGTGAGGTCTTCAGGCAACTTATGATTTAGCACAATAAAGAAAAAAAATCTTATTTTAGCGCCCACCACTTAGCATGGTAGGAAACGGAAAGTGGACTCTTATCTGTTGACAGGTCTCATCTGCCATGGGGGTTTGTGTCACAGGCTGGTCACAGGTTGCCAGAAAGCTTCCTCCTTGGCTGCAGTGATTTGC